ATTGTGTATATATACCACATTTTCTTGATCCATTCATCTACTGAGGGGCATCTGGGTTGGTTCCATATGTTAGCTATGGTAAATAATGCTGCAATAAACATAGTTGTGCTGGTAACTTTAGTATGGTCTTGTTGCCCAAATGCTTCAATAAGAGAGCTAAAAAAATAGGATGGAAGAAAGACAGCCTCTTCAGTAAATGGTGCTGGCAAAACTGGTTAGTCACATGTAGAAAACTAAAGCTAGATCCTTATATATCACCCTGCACCAGAATCAACTCCAGATGGATCAGAGACCTTGGAGTCAAAGCAGACACCCTGAAAACATTACAGGATGGAACAGGGGAAACCTTAGGTCTCCTTGGCACAGGCCGAAATTTTCTCAATAGAGACCCAGAAACACAACAAATCAAAGAAAGGTTGGACAAATGGGATTGCATGAAATTGCAGAGCTTCTGCATGGCCAAAGGACATAGCTAGCAAGATCAGTAGAAAGCCCATGGATTGGGAGAAAATCTTCACTAGTCATACAACGGACAAGGGTCTCATATCTAAAATATATTTGGAATTCAAAAAATTAAATCCCCCAACCACAAATCCTCAAAGAAACAGCTGCCCAATAAATAAGTGGGCTAAAGACTTGAAAAGAAACTTCTTTGAAGAGGAAATAAGAATGGCCAATAGACACATGAAGAAATGCTCAACCTCTCTAGCCATAAAAGGAATGCAAATCAAAACATCATTGAGATTCCACCTCACCCCAGTTAGAATGGCTATAATCAAGAACTCTAATAACAACAGATGCTGGAGGGGATGTGGCCAGAAGGGAACCCTACTGCACTGTTGGTGAGAGTGTTCAACCACTTTGGAAAGTAGTATGGAGTTTCCTCAAAAGACTCAACATAGAGCTCCCCTATGACCCGGCAGGAGAGATATTTATTGGCCAGCCAACTTCAATTCAGGAAAGAAGAAACAAGAATAGTATTATTTCATGTTTTTAAATAATCTAATGAACATTTTTCCCAAGAACTTTCAGTATCAAGGAAGACACAGAAAGTAGAGAATAGAAGAATGAGTTAAAGGACACTTGAAAATAAGGCATACACAGCATGAATAATTTATTTATAGTCTTGTTATACAGAGATCCTTAATAAATGAACATCAAGTCTGAAAAATTTTATTTGGAAAACTGTCAGATTTTTAACTTGTCTCTTAATTGACAGGTAAGCAAAATTTTTACTATTAGACACTTCCTCCCAACCCAGTTTCACTCGATATTACATATGCTAGAAGAAGCTACAACAATCTCATTTTCTGTCTGAATTTCCTATTTCAATGTGACTATGGACTCTTCATTGTAAAGAAGAATTTACAGATATTTTGAAAAAGAAGCTTCTTGGCTGGCAGACACGATGTGCAGTCACTTCGTTTTGTAAGTGAGTCTCGTAATTCAGGTTAAAAAATTCCATATTCTGTGAAATGTTGGCTAAATGTAGATTTTCAGTTTAATGCAGTCCTTACTAAACACACTGTATAGCTGATGGAGTAGTTGATAAAATGGTTCAAGTAACAGATAGGATGATCCTGAGTTTGCGGTACCAAAATCAACCTGAGAGAACCAGATCTGCTGCTGTTGCTTTAAGATCAAATGAATGAAGGTAAGGTCATAACCACTGCTTGCCTGAGGTCTACAGTGCTGTCACTGCCTTTCACAGCCTGTTCCCGGGCCATTATTTATATTTTATTGAGCATAAATACTTACTCAGGGTGTGAAGAATGTCAAGCATTTACTTTTCTGTCTTTGTTCATTAACCAAGCACTGGGGTAAAAATCTGTTTGTGCTAGTACTGTAAGATATTACTCATATCATTGAGACTTCAAGAGGGAACAAAGAAACAATAAAAGTCAACTCCATACAACACACGATATGATCAGCAAACCTGACAGGGTCTCTGTCTTCTGTGTTTCTGCAGAAAAATGTCCTGCACCTCTCAGAATCATAGCAAAACACAGTTCTGTAGAAAACCTCAGATTTTATTACTGAGCTAAGATCCACAAACAGAAGCTAATAAGAATGAGCACCATTTTTTAATTTGGGCAAATCTTGGCCCTACCAATTCCTAACTCACCAAATCCAGGTTAGAATGCCTAAATTCTTTGGATTCTTTCCTGTGTGGGAAACAGAGATTAAAGGAAATACTATATTTCAAGTTAAACATATAGTAAGTATGTGAACATGGTAGCTTTATTATTGATTCAATCCTTAAGCTCTAAATCCCTGCCCACTTTTTAAATTTTATATGTAATCCTGGTGATACAATTTCAGAGGAAATCTGTAGCAATGTCCCTTCTTATTACTGCTACCTACACATGTACTTTTTACTAGACTATAATAAAATTATTATTAAAAATAATAACAAACAACACAAACTAATATTACAAATAAAAATACAAAAGTAAAATACATATTTAAAGTTCATTTCAACTAGCTGTTTTCCTGAGGCATGTTCTGTCCATTTTCAAATGAGTAACTCACACTTTGTAACTCCCCGCCAGTCTGGAGGTACCTTAATAGTCTGAAAGAATGAAGGAAAGAAGAGAAATTTTAGAGCTCTGTACTGTGTAATAATCATAATCATAATCATCATAATCATAATCATCAGAAATCCAAAAGCAGTATTTCTGTTTTGGTTTATTGTTGTTGTCCTTACAATAAATTAGAAAACTATTATAATCAATTAATAGGCATTTACTACCTACTCCATTAGGGAATTACTGGGATGTTTGGCAAAGTAGAGAGTTTTGTAGTTTCTTGAGTTGTTTTTATTTCTTTGTTGGTTTGGAGCAGGGAGAAGGGTTTTGAAACAGTGTCTTGCTATGAAGCATAGGCTGGCTTTGAACTGATGATCCTTCTGTGTCAGACTTCTGCGTGCTGGGATTACAAGTGTATATTACCATGCTCAGCAAGGATAGACTGTACATAGAGAAAGCTATGGAAAGTCACTACTTTTTCATGGTGAATGTTAAGAAGGAAGTGTGTGGTCTGACCACAATGGCCTCCCTTCTGATCTAAAAGGATAAAACTACTTCTTTGAAAAGCAGGAAAGAAATAATCTGTTTCCTTTCTGTGTGAAATCTACCTTACCTCTCAACCACCATTCTTGTGAAGCAATATACCAACTTACTTTCAGCCAGTTCCAAGTTTTGTGTTCTTACAATCAACTCTATCCAGCCTGATTCTTTCAGGCCATTCTGTGTGCCCTGCTGTAGCCTTCCTGCAGGGATTCCCCCTAATTCCCATTCTAGGTACTCTATTGTCCACTTCTGGCTGGGTTTGGCTAGTAGAAAGCATGTACTGAAGTTGTGAAAGTAGGAAAAGATTGGTTTTGTTTGTGTTTTTCTCCACTATTTCTTCCCCCATCCTCATTTCAGTTCTAGAAGTAGCTATTTCCACACTACCCAATGTTGCCTGGTTACAGGTGCTTCTCCAGAGCTCTTCAAATGCTAAGGTAACACTTAATCCAGGCTGCCCAACATAGGAAGAGTAACAGCTCTCTACGCTTGTGTCAAGGAGCCATGACATTCTTTGTATGCGCCCTTAAACCTACCTTCACAGTCCTTTTTTCAAAATCTCTTCATTGGTTCACTCAAGATAATTTCCAGAATCCTACAGACTGCTGACTGAGAAAACATCTAAGGAGCTTAGAATATGGGAATTGTCCAATCAATGTACCTGCTACTACAATAGTATTTATAGCTTGTTATGTCTTCAGTGTAATGTGTCTTCATTAAAATACCTCTTCATTTGTTGGGCACTAGTGGCTCACACCTGTGATCCTAGCAACTCAGGAGGCTGAGATCTGAGGATCACAGTTCAAAGCCATCCCAGGCAGGAAATTAACCACCAAAAAGCCAGAAATGAAGCTGTGCCTGAAGTGGCAGAGCACTAGCCTTGAACAAAACCAGTCAAGGACAATGCCTATGTCCTGAGTTCAAGCCCCAGAACCAGCACCAAAAAAACACAACAACAACAATCCTTAAAACCAAAACTCTTCAGTATATCCAAACATAGAGAAGAAAAAAACACCACAAGCATAAAGGCTTCGAATGCCTATCTCTGTACTAACGTGCAGAAGAAAGTATTCTTTTAGGTCTTAGGTTTTATGAAAAAGTCAATTTATTTTAGATGTTTTATATGTACTTTAGATAATTATGCTAAGTTAAAATATAAGCAAATTCCAAGAAATTATTGTGAGACATAATTAAGCTTCTCCTTGTCCCTTAAGGTCACCCAAACAGTTTTCCATGTACCAAATTCATCACACTTACCATTAGGCAATATGTGTCTCTTGAATGTCTTCATTTGTAGGGGTTAAATGTTTGCCCAGCGTTTCCATTTCTTTTTCCTTCTTCCTTTTCCTATGATGCTTCTGAAGAGGACTTAGAAAGAAATTAACATGAGCCTGAACATTCATGAAAATCCAAAAATTATTCAATAAGCGAGCCTGTGATCTCATTTCTGGACCATTAAAAAGTTCGCTTTTTTTGGAATGATTTTTCCTTCTCTTTTAATCCAGCTCCTTTTGTAGACTCAAATGTGAGCTCTAACAGTCCACAAGGTTGGAAGTAGACAATAGTACTCTACATAGCAAGCATGTGCCTGCTGATTTTGATTAGAGGTTAGTGAGCTGGAGAAAATTTTCCAAGCAAAATTATTTCACAAACTAGAATCATTAACACTAGAAGAAGTTGGGGAAAGGATGATGATCACCTCTGGATATGTTAATTGAGTTTCTAGGCACATTAATGAAGAAATAGTTAGTTTTTCTAGACTACAGTCCAATTTCCTGAAAGTACAGTTCAAAATTAATGTAATAAAATGAGTCATTTCCCAGCTCTGCCTCAATCCTGGCATTATAAATATTCCTTTCTACCATAAAGTACTTAAACTCACAAACATTTTTCAATTTTACAGCTTGAAGGAATCCTACACATCATCTGGTTTAATACCTTTGTTTTACAGAAAATGCCATTGAAGTCTGAGGACTTTAAGAAATGTGTCCGAAGACTCTAAGTACAAAATGACAGAGCTGGGGCGCGGGGAGGGGTGGGGAGGGGGGAGGGGGGATCAAAGGCTATATATCTAGTGTTTTTCTCCCACCATTTTTTTGTATGTGAACCATAGCACAGAAATAGTTTAGAAAGCTGGTAGCTACTCAAGACAAAACAAGAAGACAACACTTGAACAAAATGCCTCTCAACCTACCATTAAAAAATGGTATGTTTCACAAGGAACTAACTTAATTAAGAATTGCCCTCAGCCCCATTTCAAAAAATAAGAAACTCTTTAATCCCTAAGTGTGGTATATAATTAAAATATAGGAAAAACAGTGTAATCATGATTTGCATATAAGATAAATTACTTGAATGTAATCAGCCAAAAAAAAAAGTCTTTGTTCCTGTATTTTAATTTTCTTGTGCCATTGCACAATTGGAGAAAAAGGAAATCTTATGTAACTACTAAAACAACACAAAATACACCAGCTTTTAGGACTGAACAATTGGCATTTCTAAATAGGTTTAGACAAAGTGTGTTCAAAGTTCTAATAATTATTTCCATTAAACCTGATTTTCTAAATCATGTATTGTGCTTCAATATCAATGATGGTAAATCTTCAAAGGTGAATTTCTTTAAATTGAAGCAAAAGAGAAAAGGAAAGGTAGGAAGTAGGGGAAAAGAATAAAATGAAAGCGTGAAGGGCAAGATACAACTTCTCGTGTTTATTTAAAATTAAGTTTAAAAATACTTACTGGCAGCATGTGCAGACACCAATGACCAAAATGATGAAAATAACCATAACTGCGATCAAACAAATCACCAGAATCTGCCCTCTGTCTCCTCTTAGATAAAACAGGTCCACACGTTCACACCTTGCTCCTGTGTAACCTCCATCACAGCTACCAAAACAAAACCAGATAAACGAAATCTCACTTCGGAAAGAGATTAAATTCATTTTCATTACTTGAAATTAATCAAGACCACAGTTCATCTACTTAGAAATGAAAAAAACCTGTCCTTGCTCTGTTCATAATAACTTCACTGTCTATTCTTGGCTGAAAAGTCAGCCATCCCCCAAGCTTATTGTTAACATGTCTAACGCCAATAAACAAGGATAATGACAACTTACTGAATTTTGTTTTAAAATTTTAATCTCCAAGTTGAAAAGGGGGGATGATAAAATTCACTATGCAGCATTCCCAGAGCTTAAATACCTCCATGGAAAGGAATTCAAAACTCTCTAGGATTTTTTTCCCTTTTACATAGGGCCATAGGAACAGTTTCAGTATACCAAAGCACTCTTATACATTGATTAAAAATTACATTGCTTCACAGAATCAAGAAGTAGTGTTGTGAAAGCTCCATAACTCAGTGATCAAATGTAGAATTTGTGTAATATTATTTCCACAGAGTCTCTCTGTTCCACCTCCTTCAATCTCCTTCCTCTCTCCCCTCCCCTCTTCCTCCCACCCCCCCCCATTTCTTTCCTCCTTTACATTCTACTCAGTATCTGACTCTTTCCCCCACCCACCCACGGCTGTCCTTTGGTTCTTGTTCTACTGTTTGGGAACTTATAAATGAGGTAATGTTCTTCTCCTATGAATCTTACATTCTCACCTTGCCAACAACGTCCCAACAAGTCCTGTCCTAGCCATTTTCTTTTTGGTTTCTGGAAGGCCACATTTCCAGAAGCGTTCATCATTCCTTCCACTTTCCTCTGAAGTGGCCACATCCCTTAGAGAGCCTCCAGCAGCTGTCTAAGTAGGGCTATTATTTCCCTCAGTATCTCAAATCGATAACAACATAATTTTAGGAGATACTTCAGCTCAGCAGATGCCCTAAATCTGCAGTCAGATCTACGAATCTGTTTAAGCTAGGACTTACCTGAGTCACACCAGCATAGTTAACTAACGGCTCAAGGTTTTGTAGACTACCCCCATAGAATTCTATGAATTGTGTCAGAAGCTTAAAAGGCACATAAAAATTTGCCTAAGGACATTTGAAGCAATATTACCTGTTGAAGCATCAGTACCTTTGCATTAATAAGTATTTTCCCTAATCTCAGCCACATTCAAACGCAAGGAGATGCCACCCAGACAGAATTATGTAAATGTCAAAAAAGATGAATTTTTCATCCCGGAAACATTTCTATATAACTTCATTTTTCTTGAAGAACTGATTTATTACTAGGCTGTTTTACAGCTTCTATTTGACCAGAAATCCAAGGCAGTTAATTCTCACAAAGCCTGTTTTTCTCAAGTAAGAAGATCCTTTAATACTAATATTGAGACATACATAATGCTTCAGAAAAACAAACAAAAAATAAGCTTAGAACTATCTCAATTGAGGGTGAGCTGCAATCCAAGCAAAGGAGAAAGCCATCTAATATCATTTATTGCAACAGGACCCCAGGATAAATGAGAGAGAATTGCTTCCTGCAAGATAGCTAGGCATCGTCATTTCAAGGTCAAAATTCAGGAATCGGGTTAAGAAATATCTTGAAATATCAAAAATGTGTTACACATACAATTGAAACTCTGGGGGGAATCATTTTTTAATTATATGCAAGAGGAAGATGTCTTTAATAGTTGTGTCAAGAAAGTAAATCTTATGAATATATATAGACTCTTCCAAATAGCTTATTTTTTCAGCAAATTTACTAAATATGGCATTTTAAAACAATTGATATATCCATAAAAACACATAGCCATTTGTGGTTGCTTTTTTTTAAAAAAAAAAGTGTTGTTTTTTTTTCATCAAAATTATGTGCTCTGGGTTCAGTGGCTAAGCCATGCTTTAATTACATTTCTCAGAAAGCAATCAATACATCCTACAAGTTGAAACCCAAATGTAGTCACAGTGGAAGGCCAACTCTTGACACATTTATAATGGCTTTCATATTAGTTTACATTTCCACAAATAATAGCATATCAGCAGCTTGGCAATTTTCAGTGAGTCTATCTTCCCTATGGGAGAAAAAGGGACAATGGGAGCGAAATCCTAGTCTGCTCAGTTTATTGAACAAACATCTTATAAAACAAAATTGAAATTAGTGTTTCAAGATTTAAGGACTCCAGAGGGAATGCTTGAGATCGCTGTTCTGAAATTATCACCAGACACCATTTTAAGAGACATGTAAGTACTGATTCTATCATAACCCTGTCTTACCCTTTGAAGCCAGCAATAATGTTAACTGTGTTTTTCAAGTGAAGGAAGAAAGGTTCTGCGAGTTAAGTAAGTAAGCCTAGGATTCAATCACAAGCAGTCTCACTCCCAAGTTCATCCACTAGCCAGCAAGTAGGTGAATTTTGATGCATAAATGTAAACTGTGTATCTAGAAACAAATTCTCCATGTGCTACGGAAAAAAAACCAAGAAAATTAATAAGGGATTTGAAATATTTGAAATGTACTTTGGTCTTGTGTGTAAAAGCAAGGGCCCATAAACTGAATTCAAAGAAAATGAGGCATTTATGGTATTTCAAGATTGTGATATCACTGGCTCAAGATGGTTTGGGTTGAATTCATGCCTCACCAAGTCACCTAATGGGTCAGTCCTAGGTTAATAATATTTGACACTCATCTTGGTGATACAATGAAAGGACATTTATTTGGAGCTAGGTGCCATCAGAAGTGATTCCTATTATTTTCCCTAAGCTTCAACATTTGAAAGGAAAACTTGACCAATGATTAACACTGCTTGTAATGTATGAAAATAAAATCTCACCTTAGGTCAGTCTGACTTTAAAATCTGCGCCCTCACTCCTGTTCTCTGCTGCATGCTATTGGTTCTGTGTCATTCCTCTACGAAGAAGGTATTTCTGATTCAAATTAAGGTTTTGGTTTTTCAGTCTCACGTGGCAATAGATAGACCATGACGAAAGCACATTTCGTTCATTTTTCAATCATTTCTTCACAGTTATTAGATTTTGGACTCTGTACTCACCACTGGAGTACAAAAGTGAGCAAGCCATGAAAACTGCCCCCCAGGAACTCACAGCCACAGGAGGGACAGGCAAAGAAATAGTCATGCTCTAGTGTTTATTAAGAACTTTCATTGGAGTGTGGCTAGGATTTGGAAAGGTAACATGCACCTCACACCTGTGTGTTTCTGGAGAGGAAGAAATGAAGGATGCTTCAGTTGTTCCATAATCCCTCAGTAGACATAAGCTCTTCAGGCTCCGAGAGGCATTTGCATAATAAACTATGAAAAGGACTATAAGGTTCTATAGGAATAGTTGGGAATATGGTGAAAGCTAGAAGCAGAGCCAGGTGAAAGCCAGGATCAGAGGTGCTAAGGAAGCCAGTGAAATGAGTTTTCACTTCAAAGTAAATGGGACAAGCTGTGTGTTAGTCTGAAGCAGGTAGATTACATGCTGTGGTTTTGATTTCAGCAGGCAGCAGTATTAAAGAACAATAAATCTGTGGCTAGAAGCCAGCTAGAAAGATGTGCTGGGTTAAAGGGCATTCATATGTTAAATTCAACACATGCTTCCATGTAAATACTTAATTTTTTAAAAATCAGCTTTATCCTACTTCACACAGAGACACACACATACATACACAAACACACACACAATTTCCTTTGCTTTTTTATACTAGTTATTCTTATCCTCTAAGCGTTATGCATGCATGTTCTCTTTTACACATTTTATTAGCATATAATAAATGTGCAAATCGGGAGCGGGGTTATTGTTATTCCCATATAGGTATTTTTTCTCTTTAAAGAATTTAATCCTACTTACATTTTGACAAGTTCTGAGACCTTCAAAGTTTCCACAAAGCAGTTTAGAAAAACTGTTCTGAAATCCTTAGAGAAAAACAAATGCATACTGCAGAAAAAACTGCAGAAGAGCATAAATGCTTTGTGAACTTCAAATCAAATAGTACCTAAAGAATACCTTTCTTCTCTTTATTAGGAAAGGTCCCCAAAAAGCACTGTACAGGGGCATTCCTTTAGACAAAAATGAATATTAAAAAAGATTCAAAAAAGTATAGTGCTCCTGAATAAAATTAAACATAGACTTATCATAGAGCAAGAAAGACAATTTTTCTCTGAGTTCCCTACTGTACTAAACCGGTTTTGTTCATCTAGTTATAAACAGAACTGACTTCCTTGCACTTAACTGATACCTGCAAAAAGTAGCTTTTAATTTGGCAGGAATTCCTTCATATTTATGTTAACCAGGAACCACCTCCCACATGCCAGAAGAAATGTGTTTCCATGTGAACCACCCAGGAGATGATTGAGCTGAAAAGCATTTTAGCACTGGACAGAATTCGTTTTGCTTGCGCAAGGCAACAGAGAACTCTGCCCAGCTTGGAAGTGGAGCTAGGCTGTCACACGCTCCTATTTCGGGAAGAAAATGTGCGTCAGTTTCTCCATAAGTAGCTGCTAAGCTGAGCGGGCCCTAAACAAGTGGCCTAGGGCAGCACCAAGAGCAACTGCATGGGGACAGATGGTATCGTTAACTCAGACTTTCCAGCTGTCAAGCTCCAGGCCGGCACAGTGCTGCACCCCTGGGCTCAGTGGCTCAGGGCGCTCCACTTACATGCAGGAGGGTGTCTGCTCTGCCACAACGAAACGACATCTCCCTTTGATGCAATAATGCTTGTATTGCTTGGGACAGCGAGAGAAGTGGCCTTTCCGCCTGGATTGTGTGGTGGTCGCTGGAAAAAGGAGGAAAAGTTCAGAGTCCATCAACTGCTTTAACTGCTTATGTGTAAATCAAATCACATTTCTTGTTTTACCACCAATTTTCCTGTAGACTATATTCCAATATACTTCAATCTCCCATGTCTCTTTCTTTCCATACTAGGGTCAGAGTTAGACTTTTGAGGGTCCTAGCACTAGAGAGAGAAAAAAATGATAGGACTGTCTCACATTACAGTTAGGATTTATGGACAAGCTACCTCTTAGAAATAAGTGTCATTTAGTGGGTAAAATATAAGAATATTGGGTCAGACACTGGTGGCTCATGCCTGTAATCCTAGCTACTCAGGAGACTGAGATCTGAGGATCATGGTTCAAAGCCAGCCTGGGCAGAAAAGTCCCTATTAGACTCTTATCTTTAATGAACCATTCCAAAGCCAGAAGTAGAGCTGTGGCTTAAAGTGGTAGAGTGCTAACCTTCAGCAAAAAGAACTCTGGAATAGCATCCATGCTCTGAGTTCAAGTCCCACGGCTGACAAAAATAATATAAGATGAAATAGAAAAATGGTGAAGGAGACTTTTTTCCATGAATGTGATCAGAACCATGCTAGAGAAAGCAGTTGATTGGGGGCTTGGGTTTTAATTTTGTTTTTGTTGCTATTGGGGTTATTTTTTCCACTCTTTTGCCTTTACATTTTTAATAAGCATCGATTAGTTGTATAGGGTGTTCCATGGACACACAATGTATCATGATGAGACTCATCTCCTAAATCATTCTCCCTCATTCCCTTACCCCCTTCCTACACCAGTCTCAACAGGCCTTGCTGGTCCATGTTCATGCATGTACATAAAGTATTTTGACCATATTCACCTTCTTCGCCCCCTCAGTTCTCCTGCCTCCCACTGCTAGTACCCACATCCCAGATATTCCTCATTCATTTTTTCTGAAGTGAGAAGATTATATAGCATTTTTGAGTGCAAGATACCAGTCTATTTACTTTTTTATTTTTGTATAAATTAATCGTACAAACCTTTTATTGTGATATGTTACAAAAGAGTTTATATACATGCATGGAATATACTTAGATCAAGTTCACGCTATTATTCTTTCTTTTTTGACTTTTCTGTTTTTCTTAATTGTTAAGATGTACAGAGGGGTTACAGTTACATGAGTAAGGCAATGAGTATATGACTTGTCGATCATGGTTACCCCTTCCCCTACTTGCTGTCCCACTATCCCTTCCCTCCCCCACTTCCCACACTCATACCTCCCTACCCCCTCGCCACCCAAACTTGTAAAGCCCATTTGCAAGATACTGTCCTGTGGGCATCATCGGTGCAGTGGGTCATCCTGTGTCCTTGTTTCAGCATTTTGTTATTCTCCTTATTTTTTCTTAACCCCATCTCCTACTGAAACAATTTTGGTGGATTTGATTGTGCTATTGTCGTACATATGTATAACATACTCTACTATATTCACCTCTATTTAGTGCTCATAATAAACCTGTGAGCTGAACACCATTAGAATTTCCAATTTACAGATGAGCAAAGCACAATACATAGAGATTAAGTCACCTTCCAAGATCACACAGCTAGATGTGACAGAGCTGGGGACTTAGACCTCTAGTTTTCCCCCAGAGCCCATGCTCTTGCTTATCACGCTCTGGCACCCTTTCAAGCCAGCTATTCAGCAGGTGTCTCCCATCTACTATCAGCCTGGTGCACCCAGAAGTCAGGCTTTCCCCCATTGTGAGCTGGGGCCTCTCAGTGCCTGGGGATGCTTCCTCTTCCTCTGAAGGAGAAGGAAAACACTGGAAGGGTTGTGCCCTAGATCTCAATCCTGAACTGAATTCCTTGTCTTACCCTTTCAAATTTTTGATTGCCTTCCTTTTCAACTACAGATAGTAATATGTAACAATTTCCCCATCAGTCACAAATAAAAATTGAATAATGACAATTAGCTAAGCAGCTATCTCATTCGTTGATTCACAACTGATAGATATCTACACCAGAGAAAACAATTAATACACAGCTCCAACCAATGGTTAAAACGTCCACATTTGCAGTATAATCAACAGCTTGTAAGACTCAGACATCTGTGGAGCCAGACAGCCCAGACAATACTCACTTCAGAAGAATATTTTACACGGGTTTGATATGACACCTAACATCCTAATGACAGTAAATGATCCTTATATTAATAGAAATGATTGCTAAAGTTTTAAGTCTATGAAATGGGGACATAAAATTGCATAGAGAGACCAGAGAGAGGCATTCAAAAAATAATCATACGTTGCTTTCATAAATTAATAATACACTGCAAATTTCTGTGATGTTAGTATAGTCATCCTTCAGTTTTCAAAGCAAATCACTTCCAGGATCCCTTGAAAATACCAACATCCAAGTGTGCTCAAGTTTCATATAAAATGGTGTAATAGTTACATATCAAAGTATGCATCCTTTCATGTGCTTTAAAGAATCTCTAGATTACTCGTAAGACCTAGTACAATGTGAATACTATGTAAACATTATGTTATCCTGTATTGTTAAAAAATAATGGTAAGAAATGACTTTATCATCAGTACAAATACATTTTGTGGAGTAGTTTTGACCCTCAGTTTGGATGAATCCATTGATACAACGCCATATACAGAGGGCTACTGTGTGAGTTTCAGGACATGGAAGAATGCTGCTGAGAAACTGGCTGGCCTGGTTTTGGTTGGTGACTTGCTCTCCTCCCAGGCTGACTGCTTGTGCACAAATGCCAGATATTTGCTCCCAGGCTGCCAGTAAGTAGGACTCATCAAAAGCTCTGAAATTTCTCCTAGAAATAACTGCACAGTGTATCAAAGTATATTTTGACAAATGATCTGATTAATCAACTTCCAATTGGTTGTGTGTTTTCTTACCCTTTAAGAGACACAGACCAGATATAAGAGATTTGCTAACCTTTTAAGACATCAGAAAGGAGTGACTATATCTGGGGTAGTATGACCATAGACTGAAATGCATCAAATAAATAAAGGGTAAATAAATCAAATAATAATCAAACAGATAAAAGATACTCTACCCAACTATTTTAATTGGTGCAGCAGAACAAATTATACACAATAAAAATGATACACAATAACAATAATCAACCAGTCAAAACATCCACAATACACTGGAAAGTGGAAAGAACACTGAGTTAGAAGGAAGGAAATTACTATTTAATTTTTACTTCTGCTCTTCACTAGCTGAGTGAGACTGAACAAGCTTAACTGAGTTCAATGAGCCTCAGTTTCCTCATCTGTAAATTGAAGAGGATAATACCTCCCTAAAAGGGTTGTTTGGAGATACAAATTGAAAATTAAAGTTGGAAGTACCTAGCAGAATCACTGAGTAAAGTCCTCAGAAAGTGTTCTTGGGGGCTGGGAAGATGGCTCAATGGTAGAGCGCTTGCCTTGCAGGCATAAGGCCCTTGGCTCGATTCCTCAGCACCACATAAGCAGGAAAAAAAGCCGGAAGTGGCGCTGTGGCTCAAGTGGTAGAGTGCTAACCTTGAGCTGAAGAGCTGAGGGACAGCACCCAGGCCCAGAGTTCAGGTCCACGATTGGACCCAAAAAATAAATAAGTAAATAAATAAGTAAAAGATTTCAAAAAAAAAAAGTGTTTTGGTCTAGAAGCATGAAAGTCTGCACATCTGAAAGTGCCTATGTAGGCAAAGAAAAATTCTTTGGAAAATGTAGATTTTAGGGGCAATAAGCAAATTCTTTAATGATGGAGAATTCCAGGAGCAAAGCATAATCAGGACTATAAAGGATTAATGCAAAAAGGCGGGGGGAGGGAGGGCAGATGTAACTGAAATGGGAGAGTAATGAAGGGTAGCTACTAATGATGGCTGTGCTCAGAGTAAGCAAGCACAAATGTGAGAAGGCTGAAGTAACCTAAGAGAACAAAAGAGACCTGAAGATGGCTCTAACCAATGAAATTAAATGATGCAAAATGCTTTGAACTGCAAAATAGCCTGTCAGTGCATTAAATAGAATAGTGCAGACTGGCTTGCAGAAGAAAGTTGCTAGGCACAAGGCAAAACCAGGGAGATCTGAGGTTGAACATTAGTAAGATTTGGCCCTGGACTAGGGAATGGAAGACAAAGAGATGAATTCAAGAAGCAGCAAGAGTTAATGGCAAATCTAGAATGGCACAGAAAGTCTTTCTTGCTTTGCAATCCTTACTTCACTCTAAATATTATCCATTTGGCTCTGCATCCTAAACATCGCTAATTCCCCTCTAAATTCACCCACACTTTGAACAAACACCACAGAGAGGGTAATTCCCAAAGGCAAATTAACCAGCAGCTGCTGGGTGCAATGATTTGATCAGCTCTGGCCCATCCAAGCAAAGTATATTTATGCCAGCAAAATGGCTGCCAGATCCTGTTTTGATCTCTAAAAGAGATCGCTTTGCCAAAGAAATATGTTCTTAAATATTCCCAGCATTATTTGGACTTAAAAACATTTTCATGCCGCCAGGCAGAAAATAGCCAGTGATTTCTCTCCGGAACTTTCAAATGCAAAAGAAAAATAAATCACACATACTGACATCTGAAACAAAACAGCCAGATGGGGTCATTCCTTCTCTTTACTAGACATGAGAAAACTCAAGCATTCTCCCTTGCAAACTGCACATAAAATTCAAGTTGTTTCCCACCCAGCATCTGTTGAAATTATATTTTCTCAAAACTGAACTAGTGTGAGGCTAAATATTTTCTACATATCCTGAGAGTTTATGAGAGAGGACAGAAGATGGCAAAAACTCCTCTCCTATTCCAAATAGATTTATTGAGAGAAAGAAAAGTTAATCACGTATTACTCCCAACCACTGTTTTCTCTTGAAAAGTGAAAGGCATGGTCTTGAATTTCTAAATATCAAAGAAAACAATTACCAAAATTAAGAGACAATCCACAGAAGGAGAAAAAACATTCCAGAGTTGCACAAGGGAAGGAGGATTAATATTCAAAATATTCAGAGCTCA